AATGCTGCCGCTCTTAGATGCTGCGATGGTGACAGAACAAAGGCTATTGAACCAAACAGAGCTTGGGCAAAATCACTTTAAATCTGTTTTTATTTCTTCCCAAATCACGCTACTTTCAATGCCCTGGGCGGCTGCCCACGTGTGCAGGGCCACTCAGCCAGGCCAGAGGCGCTCTGTCCCCTTCAAAGACCTCATTGTGACCCCACATCGGCCCCATTTGATTCCCTGGAACAACGGGCCCTTGTGTAGGCCTCAAGGCCTGCCCGCTCCAGCCCACGGCTGGCAGCGCGAGCCCTGTGCTGTCTCTTTAAGATCAGTGCATGAATGCCCTGAGGTCCTGTTTGGACCAGGCTTCTGTAAAGGAACCCCACAGCTGGTGGGGTTCTTGTGGAGTTGCTTGGTAAGGTTTGGTTCTAGAACACCAAGCAAGCTCAGGTCTCAAATGAGTAGATCCCCAGGGCAGGTGGAGGGGACTGGAGGTGTAGGGGAAGGCATTGTGTGAAGCCCCCCCGCCAAATGATGAGTCTCCGGGGGGAAGGGTCACATGCAAGCCTGCCCCCAGCTACTCTGCCCTGCATGGGAATGGCTCCCAGGAGGCACCTCCCGAGGCCCCAGGCGGGTAAGGGCATTCCAGCTGGTGAAGAATGCCCGTCCAAGCCCTGGCTGGCTCTGATCCCTGCTTGCCTTTTGTTGTTCGCCTTCCCACAAGGCACACCCTCCCCCAAGCTGTCCACAAGCAGCCCTGGGCATTGCTGCTGAGGGCAGAAGGGAAGGAACGAACTGACCCTCCTCACTGTCAGATCAAAGTCAGGCCACCACACTCTACGTGTTGTGCCAAAGACTGCACCCCAGGACATGCCCTGCCAGATGGCCTCTCTCTACAACATGCTGGCCAGAGGCCAGACCTGGGTGAGGCTGGGTGGCTGGGTGCTATCTTGGGGCACAGGGTCCTGCTCATGCATGCCACCCAGGTTACATGGAGCAGTGGCCCTGGGCCCCTCCTGGAACCTAGTGGGTGCTGAATGTTCACTTGCATCCTCAGCACTAATGGCTGGGGACAGTGGTGGGGCAGGTAGTGGAGAAGGGAGAGGATGCCCTTAGCAGTAAACCTTTAGGATGGAGTTAGGAACAGGGCCAGGCCTTCTCTCTTCTGTGAGCCATGCTTTCATGGGACCGAAAATGGAGTGGCTGACGTTGGTTTGGTCAGCTCTGCAAGCTCTGGCTTTTGGCTATGTCACAGATCTCAGCATCTTTGTAATCATTTCTCAGGCCCACAGAATGATTGGAGTCATTGCTGGAGGTGCTTAGAAACACTCTGTTCTCTATGTTCTTTGCCAAGTATCTACTGGACATGGTGTGCCATTGACCCCGGGGCTGCTTGGTGGAACCCAGGAGCTACCTCACCTGGCGCTGCCATGTCTCGGGGACAGTATGGAGCAGCTGTAAGATGACGAACCCGTGACCTTCACTGGCCCATGTGGTCTGCTGAAGGCCCGCCGGTGCTCCATGGCTGTTCCTTGCCCATGGATGGTCTATCTACCACAGCCTTACTGCCAACTCCCAAGATGCTGGTGGACAGACCCACATACATCCAGGTTTGAACATGTACACAGCGCAGGGGGAGCTGCCCCAAGCCCAGCTCTGCTTCTCACTGGCTGCAGGCATCTGTATTTCTTCTCCAATAGGATGATGTGGCAGCCCCCTGGACAAATGGCAGGAAGCTCTATCCCGTGTTAACATACATGCGTAGCCTTTTCGTGCTTTCATGAACTCTCAAGATGTTGCATGCACGTCTTTCACATTTTGTTGTACCCAATGAAACTTAACTTTCAATTCTACTTTCCACAAACGCTTCAAGGTACCCTTGCCTTATTCAGTGCCTGGCCCAAGACAGAACCCCAAAGACGCCAGACAAGACGGACACACGTTTGAACTGGCTCCTTTATTTTTTCTCTAAGATTTAAAAAAAACTTTCCTTTATCTCAAAGGAAGAATGACAGAAAGAGAGGGGTGGGAGCAGGCAAAGACAAAGAGATAGGTCTTCCATCTCATGGTTCATTCCCCAAATGAATGCAGGCCAGGACAGAGGCCTGCAGCTCCATTGGATCCTCCCATGTGGGCGACAGGGGTCTAAGTACTTTGGACATTTTCTGCTGCTTTCCTAGACACATTAGTAGGAAGCCAGATCAAAAGTGGAGCAGTTGGGACCCCATTCAGTGCTCACAAGGGACACAAATGGCATGTGCATATGGCTTAATCTGCTACACTGTAACATGGACCCCAACCTGGGTCTTCTTGCAGTTGTATTTGCATGTTGCTGCACCTGATTTCTGATATCCAGTAGGGCCGCTGCTCAGGCAGGATCTGAGGATATGTCTGCAGCCAGTGAGAAGCAGAGCTGGGTTTGGGGCAGCTCCCTCTGCCCTTTGCACATGTTCAAACCTGGACGTATGTAGGTCTGTCCACCAGCATCTTGGGAGTTGGCAGTAAGGCTGTGGTAGATACACCATCCATGGGCAAGGGACATCTTTGGGCTGGCCTCAAGATATGTCCCTGTGGTGGCCCCTGTGACGTGAGATTCAGAAACAGACACAAGGTATGTCAGCAACAGTAAACACTGGGGCCAGTACAGACTCTCATCCTTGGAGAAGAAAAGAGGGATTCATGGCCCAGCGTGTGGAAATGCTCGGCCCAGGCAATTCCTGGCAGGCTGAGTCCTGTTGATGGTTGCCTAGTGGGTTTGTTAAATGACTCTCAGTTTCCGGCCCTTTCCTCGAGGATGTCAGAGGCTCCCAGAGGAGCAGTGATGGAGCCAGCAGAACTGGCCCTCTGCAGGTGCTTGAAAAGCAGGAGTAAGGGATCTGGGCCGGGATAGGTTCCAGAGGGCAGGGAAAGCCAACCCAGGAAAGGGTATTGTTTAACACCAGAGGTGAAACCTTGCTTATCCCTTTGCAAACAACAGCTGTAAATCAAACGTGAAATGAAACTACCTTTCACCTACCATTCAGGATAAAAGGAATGAGAGTCATGTTAGACAATCATTTTCAAAGATTTTGATGAATAAAGACCCAGTGAGATCAATTTGTAACCGATGAAGAGAAAAAAAAACAGAAAGAGCATATTGTTTTTTTTTTTAATGGTTAACTTTTCTTTTTGAAAAAAAAAATTTTTTTAAAAGATCACTTGAGAGGCAGAGTAAAAGGGGAGATGAGAGGAAAAAGGAAGAGAGGAGAGGGGAAGAGAGATCTCGTGTCTGCTTATTTTTCCCCAAAATCTGCCATGGCTGGAACTAGGCCAGGGCTGTGGTCAAAAGCAAGGAACTTAGAGCCGAATCCAAACCTTGCCTGTGGGCATCAGGAACACAACTACTTGGCCCATCATGGCTGCCTCCCAGGTCTGTACCAGCAGGAGGCTGGGCCAGGATCAGAGGTCCAACCCAGGCACTCTCACAAGGCACACAGGTATGTGGGGGCTAGGCCTGACACTTGCCCCCCGCCAATCCCCAATTTCAAAACACTGAGACTGGAAATCAACTTTCAAGTTCTTTCTTTCTCTTCTTCTAATCCTGCTCCTCCTCCTTCTTGTTCTTCTTTTGATGGTGCATATAAAAGCAAGCCTCATTATCATCATGCTGTTGGACTTACTATAATGTGATGGAGCAGTTTTATTGAAAACAACGAGCTGTCCTTTAATCAACACTTGATTTCACATTTTGATAAACATGTCATAAACTTCTTATCACTTCTTGTTACCTAATTTTTCATAATAAAACTCAATCAAACCTTTGGCTCATGATTCGTGATGGTATTTTGGGCTGGCCACGAAAAGTGGCCAAATCGGGCCCGGCGCGGTGGCGCAAGTGGTTAAAGGTCCTCGCCTTGCACCCCCGGGATCCCATATGGGCGCCGGTTCTAATCCCGGCAGCCCCGCTTCCCTTCCAGCTCCCTGCCTGTGGCCCGGGAAAGCAGTCGAGGACGGCCCAAGGCTTTGGGAACCTGCACCCGCGTGGGAGACCCGGAAGAGGCTCCTGGCTTCGGATTGGCATAGTATCGGCCCGTTGTGCTCACTTGGGGAGTGAATCATCGGACGGAAGATCTTCCTCTCTGTCTCTCCTCTCTGTATATCCGCCTTTCCAATTAAAAAATAATAATAGAAAATAAATCTTTAAAAAAAAAAAAAAAAGAAAAGAAAAGTGGCCAAATCCTGGGTCCAGTGGCCTTGGGGTCACACAGGACCTCCTGAACATGTCACCTCAATCCAATTTAGTCATGGGACCCATCTCCAAGTGGGAAGGAGAGTAACACGGGAACCTCTTAAACCCTCTGCCCAAGGCTTGGATCTTTGGGCTGCTGGCACCAGGGTGCCAGGCTCCACCTGTGTGGAGGTACCTCCTGTGATCTGGGACCCCACCTTTATGACATTATACGTATCTCCAAGCTATGGGTAAAGGAACACATCACAACAGGATGTGTTACCAGATTCCTGACTTGGTATGTTTCTTCCTCACCACCCTATCTCCTTCCAACCCACACATCTCATCCCAGATCCATGGTGGTCCCCACATGCCACCGCATTCCCTATCACTCTGAAGGGGGTGTCTCCTTTCTCTACTCCAGAGTGGCCCAAAGATGCTATAAACCCAGCCGAGCAGCCCCACGGCTGCTTGCAGCAGAACAGAGAGAACCAGCTCTGCAGAGGGTGACAGCACACCCCTGCACCTTGTTGTCTGTGGGCTTGAGGAAGTTCTAACAGAACACAGACCACAGGGAAAAGGAAAGAGTCTCCATCTCCAACCCCTGCCCTACCAGGCCGCCATGTGGAGAGTTTCCAAAGCAGGGACAGCTGGTGGCAGCTGCCAAGATGGTGTGTGCATGGCATCGTTGGGACTGCTCCTGGATGCCACCTGTTGGGGTTCAGGTACGGTGCCAGGGTTCCCAGGGAAGAAGGCTGATGGATGTGACGCTGGCAATAGAGTACAAAACCCCATGGCAGCCACAGCAGTCGTGAACACAAAGGTACTTTATGAAGTGGAGATCTGGAAACATCTGTTGGGTGAGTTTTAGATACACAGACTAACCATGAAGACCTGAAGACAGGCCCCACATTGAGGCGGCCCAGAAACAGCCCATGGAAAATTCCAGTGCTTCTGTCTCAGATTCAGTCCAAGGGTTCACCAGAGGATCTTGGCTTCCTTCTCAGATAACAGTCCTCACCTCCCGCCCCCCTACTGCCCCCAACATCAGTCCCTTTCACAAACAGGAAGTGACCCTAGAAAGACAGCTCAATACTTGGAGGTTAAACACATTAAGTCCCCAACCCCTGAAGGGAAGCCACATGGGAGAGTAAACATGACACCTGCAAGAAACAGCATTGTGTGTGTGAGTGTAGTGAACACTGTGTGTGTGTGTGTGTGTGTGTAGGTGTGTGCTTGTTTTGTTTTTCCCACTGTCGGAAGCACTTCTGCATTGTAAAGTGTTACACTGGAAGGTGGGCCAGTCGGTTCACACCGTCAGGGTTTTCAGCTCAGGTGCTTCTGTCACTTTATGACGACTTCCATCTGATCAAAGAGAACACGGCATGGACCACGTAGAGCAGAGTGGTTGCGTAGGAGAACACCTGCAAGCAAAACAAAGGCTCTTGAGTGGGCCCACGGTGGGGAGATCTTCCACTGGTTCACTAACCCCAGTCACAGCTGGGCCAGGCTACAGCCAGAGCTAGGAATGCTCATCCAAGCTTCCCACATGGGTGATGGGGCCCCCAATATTGGAGGCATTTCTGGCTGCCTCCCACGGTGCATAAAAGCAGGAAGGTGTTGCACGAAGGGAAGCACAGCTGGGACCCTCTGATGTGAGAAGCAGGCTCCCAAGGCAATGTCTTTTTCACCCCTGTTGATGACATTCCCCTACTCTGGGTGGCTGGCCTCCCAATGGCTCACCTGCCCGAGCCCAATTCCTGCACCTGGTTTTGTGACCTTGGGTGGGGGTTGTCGAGAGTTTCCAACTCAAGCACAATATTCAGGGCGGCCACGCTTCTGTGACTCCTGAAAATGCTCGTAAACATCAGCCATGCCGTGCCTGCTCTCTCCCTGCCCCTGCACCCAGGAGCACGCTCGGGCCCCCATTGGCCAGAGGCAATGAGTAAGCAGAGTTATTTAACAACACATTTCAGAGAACTCATCAGAAAAGAGCAGTCATACGAGAGTGAGCAGCCCCCCAAATGGCACCTGTCCCCAGTAGGTGCGAACTGCAGACCCAGTAAGAACCTCTGGCAGGAGCACCTGGGAAGTTCCCAGCAGGAACAGGAAACAAGGATTTATTTTTCCAGTGATGCCAAGATATGACCCCATGGGAAACATCCATGGCTGGAGACATGCATGGACACGTTTGGCCTCACAAAACCAACCCTGCTCCTACCTCAACTGCTACCATTATTGCCCACCATGGACAAGCTCTAGAAGAACCCAGATTTTTCCAGAAAAAATCTTTTAACTTTTTTCAGTCAACTTCCACCAGTCCCAGGGATGCCCTCCAGCACAGAAGCCCTGGCCCTTGCCAAGGAGAGAGGGGTGAAGCTCTGCTTTTCATGTCCTAGTTTGGAGCAGGAGTGGGGCAGGAGACAAATGGGAAGCTGCCAAAGGCAGGGGTGTGCGTGCCCCCTGCACCAGGTGCTGACCCACCACACTCATCCTGTCCAGAGCTTGCTACCACTGTTCCCACAAAGTAGGGGCTCCTGTGATGGGTTGAGGGGAGTCAAGGAGCTCCTGGGAGAGGCAGATGGAGCAGAGGGGGCGTGATTCCGTGTACCACGAGGTTGCTGTCTACACGTCACACAGAAGCCTGTGTGCTAGGTGGTAATTCCACACTGCAGGATGCCTGAGGGGGCCGTGTGGGAACATGGTTATAGGCTGGGAGCTTCCGGGGAACATGGGGCTTCCCTGAGCAGGGGACTGGTCCGCAGCGACCCACCCACCTCCATCCTCCTCGGATGTCAGAATACCTGGTAGTGCAAATCCTCTACATGCTCTGTGCTTCACCCTTCCATCTGTGAAATGGGTATAACAACAGTACCCATCACGTGACGGGGTTATGGTGAGAGTGAAATGAGATTGTTCCTCTCACATCTGCCCTGTGCAGCCCAGCTGGACCATGAGCCCCCGGAGGTCCAGCCCAGCCCTGACCACACTGTTAAGGGAGGAGAGAAAACCATTTTCAACAAGTTAATGAATTCAGAAATGTGATGAGCCGGGCCTCGGTGGGCTGCATCAGCGCCTCTGCCTGTGGGTGAGGATTCTGCAGCACTTACCACAGCTGCGATGTTTTCATGGTAGTGCTTGTAGGTGAAGCCGTCCCGCATGGAGATGGTGGCCAGGGCTTCCAGGACTGAGGCGCTGAGGTAAAAGAGAGCAGCGGTGCAGTGGTAGGCTGCATCCTGTGGGCCAGAGAAGGCAGGGACAGAAAGATGAGGCGAGACGGGCAGGGCTCAGGTCCCCTGTCACAGCTTCTGAGTCCCACCACTCCCCAACCCTTACCACATCTACTCAAAGGATTGTGTGTGACCAGGGCTGCCCATTTGAGGACCATCTGCCTGGGTCTGGAGCCAGAGAAGGAGGCAGGCTGTTCCCATACATCTTTGATTAGGCTGGGTTCCCCACCCTCCCCAGGGTTCTGGGATATGTGAAAGAAGAAACAAAAATAACAAGCTCTAGAATAGCATGCTGTGTGGCTGTAACTGGGAGTGAGAGGCCCCTCCAAATGACCCCCACTGCTGTTCCAGCAGGTACCAAGGCAGGCATCCCTTTTGTGGATGCTGCCCCCTTTCTGGGCCCCAAAGCCAAGTTCATAGTCAAGTCAGCAGGCCATTTTTCTGCTCCCAAATGCTCTCCGGCCACCTTGCGTGAAGGTAGTGGAAAGCAATTGAGTGGTAGGCACAGCTTGGGTTGCCCTCCAGGACCCTACACACCTCCCAGATGATGGCAGGTGCTAGTAGACACCTGGCAGGTGCGGAAGGTGAGGGAAGGGCTTGGGCTACTGATGATTGTCCCTGAACAAGGCAGTCATGTGAGAAAAAAGAACAGACCCGTTGGGAACCTGTGCATATATGAATCTGTGCCTCCTCCTCCTGCTCTCCCCTCGGTTGCTGCAGCTAAGACTTGCCCCAGGGAAAGTTACCCTCCCAGGCATAGAGGGACCAGTACGGGCCCACCCTGCCTTGGGCTACTTGGGCTGCAACTCACCAGAGTGATCCAAGAACTCTCTCCACCGTGGGCGCCCATGATGTACAGGATGAGCAGGGAGGTGGTGGCCACGAAGCAGAACACAGACACAAACATCACCCAACCCTGCACCAGGGGGATGGGCACCAGGGAGGAGGCGATGAGGATCCAGACCAGGCCCCCGAAGACCTGCAGCAGAGAGCAGGGAGGAGGGGACTGGAGTCAGAGGAGAGCCAAGCCAACAGGAGGGTCCCGAGCCCAGACCCCGCAGTCACAGTGAGGCTCCGGGGGCCTAGAGACCAGCAAAACATCCCTAAGGCCCCCCATGCCTCTTTAATCCCAGACTTGCCAATGCCTTGCTGGCTTACTTTTATTATTTTTCAAATGTAATTTCATTGTTTGAAAAAATTTAAACACTTCTAGCACACCAACAACGGAGCACTGTCCCAAGCACTTTACAAACAGCACCTCTGCTGATTCTCACGACAATTCCTTGAGGGAGTTATGGATCCGATTGCCAGATGGAGAAACTGAGGCGCATGGCAATTAAGTGACTTTTCAGTGTTATTGTTAGAATAGCTGTCCTTTTTTAAAATGCATACTTTATCTATTTATTTGAAAGGGAGAGTGGGAGAGAAAAAGAGAAAGAGGAAGTAAGAGAGAGAGTGAGAGCACACTTCCATGCACTGGTTCACTCCCTGAATGCCCACAAGAGCCGAGACTGAGCCAGGCCAAAGCCAAGAGCCTGCAACTCCTCCTGGGTTTCCTGTGAGAGTGGCAGAGACCCAAGCACTTCACCCATCATCTGCTTCTGCCCCTCCAGGGTATGCACCAGCAGCAAGCTGGATTGGAAGCAGGCAAGCAGCAACTTGAAGCACACACTCCTATGTGAAATGCGCATCTGAAGCAGCGTCTTAACTGCTGGGCCAAACACCTGCCCCAGGCTGGCTTGTGTGTGCTCTCTCTTTTATGAGATTCTATCCCTTCTATTTTCTTTGATATTAAAATGTCCTACTTGTTATGAAATGCCAGTGACCAGCGGATGCTTTGCATTTTTACTTGGTAAAACAAATTGGCTGCAGTATCATTAGAGGTATTTTTTTTTTTAAATGGTTGTTGCTGAAATTTGACCCCTTGCATTCCCCAGCTCAGGAAATACCCTGACTGTGCAAGTGGAGAGGCCCAGGTCAGCCCTGGCTCCTGGGATGGCCAAGGATGGGTATGAGGCCATTCCACCCTCAGGATTACCCTGGAAACCCAGATCAGACACAAGGGCCAGCAACAGCCCCCTACTACTCCTTGCTGAGAACAACCATGCACAAACCCTGGGCTGGGGCCTTCTTTGCTTGCCTCTCTTCTCATGTCCCTCTTCACCCCAGTCTCATCCATGTGTCCCCAGATAAGGAGTGGGCTAGGGGCACGTGTGGAGGTGGCTTTGCAGCCACTGTGGGACATGGCACCTTCTGAGATCTGCAGCTGAGCACGGGGCTGCCTTCCTGTCCTACATCCCCCATGGTGGGGACCCACAGCTACACCACATCTCCCGGGATCTCTTGCCCACCTGCTATGTAAGAGGCACATTCTCTTTGCAGGTACTTTCTGAAACTCTTGACTGGGAAGCACCAGGAGAGAATCCCAACTGAGTAGCAAAATCAGTGTGACGATGGACTCATCAATACCAAGTTGTGCCGAACGAACCACAGGTGGGCACCTCCACACGAGAGTCCTGGATTGCATGATTAATGCGATACAGCCAGTGAGACATACAGTTCCTTAGAAAAACAGAAACCCTTAGGAGACCATAGAATAGGAAGTATGTGCAGATTTCACCTATGGTTGAGTTCAAGTTCAAGTAGACCATTTGGCTTTTCCAGGATGGACACCAGCAAAGGACATGGGTGGCTCGAGGGCTGAACATCTCTGCCAATGGACAGACAGAGGCAATGGTCAGGAGCCCAACTCCTGAATAACTTTCTCCTGGTCACCTGGTGACCACTGGTGGATCAATTCAAGTCAAGTTCACATGCTCCTGGGGACCCTGCTCTTCAGTCCTTTGAAGCTCTCAGCATGGACACAGATGTAGCTGGCTGGGGATAGAATTTCCTGGCCAAGTGATGATGGGAACAACAGGGGACATAGGAAAGACCCATGCGGCCACATGTCAGTGTCTAGCTTGGGTAAATGGTCTTCAGTCCCCTGGTGGATGAACAAACCAAGCCCCAGGGTTTGTTAGTGGCTGGAAGAATGCCTTGTTATGGGACCTAAGGGCGCACCCACTGGATCAGAGGTGCTCCAGATGCCCCCCTGGAACACTGCAGACAAAGCGGGATAGCACGTCTCTATTCCGCTTTTCTCACTTGTGCAAGGTGGCTCAGCAGGGAGGTGTGAAGTCCTCTTTAAACACAGGTAAGCAAAAGCGATCTGGAGAGTGGCTTGGAACCAAGTACTAAAACCAAGCTTCAGGTAGTCATCACATTACATGTGAGGTACATCACTGCATGAGGCGTCACCTGGCCCGAGTGACAAGATCTGAGAAAGTGGTTCTCAGGCTCCAGTCTACACAGTCTCCTCCCTCCACCTCTGTTTGTGCCATTCTTCCCCAGGTGCCTCGAGACAGAAGCCTGATTGGGACTCAGGAGCAGGGCAGAGAAGGCAGCAGGCAGAGTGAGAAGGCACCCTGCTGAGTGCTTGCCAGGAATAGACAAGTGCCTGCACCTTGCCTGGTGCTGCTCTCCCAGCAGCCGCAGATGGAAGCCTCAAAGTGAAGTCAGTCTGTTTTGGGGTGTGCTTTGGTCTGATCAAGACAATGTTCCAGCACTTCTCGCTCACTCACTCGCTCACTCGTGCTCTCACATTACACACACACACATACACCCACACCCTCATGCAGATTCCTAGACTCTATGGTAGCCATCTCTGCTCACAGTTGTCGTTTGACAAAGCCCACCCCCAAGCCCCAGGCAGACCCCAGGACCCTACCCTGCCTCTGGCCATGTTATGAATGGCATCTTTTTTAAAAAATAAGGTCCACTCTTGCTTTATTTCCTTTTTGCAGGTCTTTTCTCCAGCAGCAGGTTCACATCATGAGATGTAATTCATGGACTACACAATGCCTCCTCCGAGACTCAAAAACCCACTCCGTGGTCATCAGTGTGTTTGCAGACAGGTGCAACCTCACAGTTGCCAATCTCAGGATGTTCTCATCACCTCTAAGAGAAACCCCATGTTCACTAGCCATTGCTTCCTGCTCCTCCCTCAGTCGTCACTTATGGGCTTCCTGTCTGTCTAGATGTCCTTTTGTGAATCATGTAACAATCCGTGACTGCCTTCTTTACTTCATAAAGTTTAATATATTTTTATTTGAGAGGCAGACAGAAGGAGCAATGAGTGACAGAATCATGAGCTGATTCATTCCCCAGATGCCTACAGTGGTCAAGGTTGGGCTAATGGTAAAGCCAGGAGCCAGGAACTCAATCCAGGTATCCCATGTGGGGGCCAGGACCCCCAACAACTTAAGCTATTACCACTGCCTCTGAGGGTCTGCATTAGCAGGAAACTGGAGTCAGGCACTGCAGATCAAACCTGGTCCTTCTGGAACGGGTTGAGGGCATCCTAACGACGATCTTAGTCACTTAGGCCAAGTATCCACCCACTGTAAGGTCTTCAAGATGAAACATTCTCTCTCAATGGTGACTTTTACAAAATAGCTCTACCAACACAGTCCCTACCATGGCCATTCTGGTCCCCCACTGTTGGGGGGGGTGGGGTTCCAGGTGAATGTATTTTATCTCTGTGGAGCCAGAAAGAGCTGAAGAGCCACTGGTTCCCAGGGACGCTGCTCCAAGAACATATATCACCTAATCCCATGTGCCCACAGACACATGCTAAGCTATGCATCACTTGGAGATGGCCTTCTGAGGTTGGATGAAATCCTTGCAAATGTAGGCAGTGCTCCCAGGGGAGGCCTCTCACAGTTCTGATGAGAAAGAATGCAGGAGGCCAGCTGGGGCTGGGCTGGACTGGGTGTAGAGCAGTCAGGGAAATAAAAGGAGTAAGGGAGGGGGAATGTCAAGGCTGAGGGACTGCTCCAAGCCAGCTTTTCCCCGCCCCACTTCTCCACAGAAGAGCCATAGGCTGCAAGGGGAAATCCAGCTCAGAGAGGCAGGTTGGAGTGAAGGCCCCCTGCTCCCCACCCACTGGGTTCCAAAGAGGGGCTGGCTCTCCACACCCAGGAGGTGGAAGCAGGTGATTCAGCTCTGTACTACAGCTTCTGTGTCCGTAAATGGCAACGTTGAAGGTGTTTCTTCACGTTGTGGGCTGGGGTGAGTTGGCTGAGCACTGTTGACACCACCCAACCATTAGGAGTAAGACACTGCTCACCCAAGAGGCTGACCACCCAGTGGGAACAGACGCCCAAGCAGCCAATCACAGCAACTCTTGCCTGTCCATTCCCAAATATTTGAGGGTGAGTGGGAATTGCATCAGCATGGAATATCAATAGACTCTCCTTGTTGTCTGTCTCTAAATGATTGAGTTTAATAACCACATATGTAGCATGTCCATTGTATTGGGTATTACAGGTAAGACAGACATGGCTTAAAAGTATACTGGGCGGGGGCAGCACTATGGCTCAGTTGGATAATCCTCCCTCCTGCAAGTGCCAGGATCTCATATGGGCACTGATTTATGTCCCGCTGCTTTACTTTCCATCCAGCTCCCTGGCCTGGGAAAGCAGCAGAAGATGGCTCAAAGACCTTGAGACACTGCATCTGTGCAAGAGACCTGTGGGAGGCTCCTGGCTCCTGACTTCAGACTGTCTCAGTTCTAGCTGTTGCAGTCACCTGGGGAGTGAACCAACAGATGGGAGCTTTTTGTCTCAGTCACTACTTCTCTTTGTAAATTTCTCTTCCCAATAAAAAGTTTAAAGAAAGGTATACTGGATGATGCAGGGAGGCTAATTGCAAGTTTAGATAAGTTCATTGAGCACAGGGAGCTTTTGGCATCTATAGTGTCCTGGAACCACACCCCTCTGTGGATACTGACAATCAGTCTGGAGTGGCATGTGGTCCCAGTGGGGTCTTGAAGGTAGAGGTGAACTTTACTTGTTACCCAGTGAAAGGGCCAGGTGGACAATGCCAGAGGATGCTGCCATGACTGTGCAGGCTTCCGAGCCCCACCACAGGGCAGGT